TTTTCTGGTCATGTCTATTGGGAGTTGTATGTGCCTCATGTACTTGGGCTTCCCTTTCTTTCTCCAAATTAGGGAAGTTTTCTGTTATTATTTCACTAATAAGGCCTTCTAGTATATTCTCTCTTTTCCATGCCTTTAGGAACTCCTAAGTCTCGTGTGTTGAGTCATTTTATAGTATCCTGTAGATTTCTAATAGTGCTTTAGCTTTCTAATTTCTTCTTCTTGTTTTTGGTCTGACTTTAAAATTTCCAGAGATTTGCTGCTAGCTCAGATGTTCTTTCCTTTGCCTCATCAACTCTGTTGTTAAGAATTTCCACTGCAATTTTATTTGATCTATAGAATTCTTCATTTTTAGTATTTCATTTTAATTTCTTTTTAGGATCTCAATTTCATGGGGAAGTACTCATTCATATCATATATAGTTTTATTTAGTTTGTGAATTTGCTTCGGATTGCTTCTGAGTAGTCCAATGATTAGTTTTTTGAATTCTGTTTCTGACATTTCCTCAATCTTTTCACCTTCACCTTCTAATACTGAAATGTTGTAGTGTTCCTTTGGGAGGTTCATAGTTTCTCCCCAATTCTTGTTTGTTTGTTTGTTTAACTTTTGCCTCTGTTTATCAGCATTTGTAGAATTCTTTTCTCCCTGGTCAAACAGGCACAAAATACCCCACGCATTGCAGCCTCATTCGCTTCTCATTTGTGCTGCACAGGTTGGAGAGTCCCTCAGGTGGTTCTTCGCCTCTGTAGGGGTGACTTCCCCTCCCCTCTTGTTGCCAAGCAACTGGCATGGTGCAACTGGCACAGGAGTTGGAGCCTCTGTCCTTGCCTATGTCTAACAATGGTGTCAGCTCTCCCCCTGCTGGCCACAGGTCTCCACTGAAGCAGAGATAAGGGGAGGGGCAGAGACACACTGCCTCTTTTTTCTTATTCCTTTTTTCTTTTTTTCCCCCCTATTTGTGAGTGATCAGCGGAACTCCAAAAGCAGTTAACCAAACTCTCCCTCCCATTGTATAAGCAGCAGGCCCATGGAGTCCCCTCTCATCTGGCTTGCCAGAGTGGGCATCCTCCTCCCCAGATATGGGTCTTCTGTTGTGTTGTTGCCCTCTTAGCATGGGTCTGGACCACCTCCACTACTTTGGGAGGGTCTTCCAACACAGCTCTCCCGCAACTGTATCCTGAGAATGTACTCTCTCTCCCTTCTTAAATATTAATTTTGCCCCACCTAAATCAGACCATCCTGTCACTATTACATCTTGGAACCCTCAAAAGTGAAACTCTTACTCCCAGTCCTTAAGGATGTAAGCATGTAATGCTGTTATGGAAAAAAGTATGGAGATTTGTTTAAAAGTAGAACTACCTCATTATTCCACATGGCTATTACTCAGTAAATATCCAAAGGAAATAAAGTCATTATATCAGAGAAATAGATACCTGCATGTCTGTGTTTTTGCAGCATTATTCATAGTAGCAAAGGTAAAAAAAATCAACTCAGATGTGCATGGATGTAGGAACTAAAAAGTGTGGTATATACATGCAATGGAATAATATTTGAGTGTAGGAAATTATGAAATCTAATCTTTCAAGGCAACACGGAACTGGAGAGCATTGTTTTAAGTGAAATAACCAAACAGACATAGACAAATACCATATTTTATCTTTGTATGTGGAAGCTAACAATATTGACCACATAGAAGTAGAAATTAGAGTAAGGGCCACTTGTGGGAAGAGGAGATGGAAGTGGGGAGATTTAGAGGGTATATAATGGGAACCAAAAACCACTTTGAGGCTGGGGAAGTAGTTTTAGTGTTGTATGTCACAGAAGGCATCTAGAGTCTACAATTACAAAATGACTGGAGGAGAAGTGATTGAAGGGTCCCAACAAATAGAAAGGATATTTAAGCACATGGGAGTGCTGTCATGATTTGATCGTCACCCATTGTTTTCTTGCACTGATAACGCTGAACACCATATTTAAAGACTTATGTTATGCATCAATGGAAAATGAACAAAAGGCATTTTTGAAGTGGTTTGATGGATTGAGGTGAGAGGACCCAAAAGAAACCTGAAAACTGAATGCAAAGGATAAAAATAGATTGCATTGTTGCCTCCACCTACCCCATCTAAATTGTCAAAATGATGTTTGTATCTAAGCTGTATTCATCCAAGGAGAACAAATATATTTCAACTTTAGGAAGATAAGGGATGAAAGACTAGTTTGAGAGAAGTATGTGTTTTGCTACAATGTCTGTTGTGTGCTCTACATGCCAATCCCATGGGCATGTTTAAATTTTGAAAACCATGAAACATCCTTGTAATGCATAATTCTTGTACTCTTTTAAGACAGATTTCCTGAAGGTTTTTAAAAATGCTATACATAACAGTCACTTTATGTCGCTCCCCCTCTTCGTGGAGGAACGACACAGGACCCTGCGCTGTTCTTTCGTCTGCTCGGCCCTCCCCGGGTTTGCTGCTGGTTCTTCCCGGGTTGGCTACTGTCCCTTCCACCTCCGTGGAAGGGCGGTTCCCTCTGGCCACATTCCCCACTTCCGCAGGGGAGCGGCACACCGCCGGCCGGCTCTCTGGGGGCTGCACAGGTGTTCCCTTAGATGTTCCCCTTAGATGTTCCTCTTAGATGTTCCCCTTAGATGTTCCTGGTGCATGCAGTCTCTCTCCTCCTTTATAGTCCTCCTCCGCCAATCCTAACTCGGCTGCCCACACGCCGAGCACGCCGCTCTCCTCCAATCAGGAGCAGGTCCTACAGCTTTCAAGTTGGTGAGAGGCAGCTGGGTAGAAGCTGTTTACTCCTCTCCCAGCGCCATATTGTGGGAGAGCAGATGCATAGAATAAGTCTTAATTCCAGTAACAGTCTAGTCCGAGTTGCTCCCCACAACTGTACCCATAGATTGAATACACAGAATCTTGGATATTTTCACACATGATTTGTGGCAAAAATTTTTGAAACTAGGAATGTAAGGACTGGCTGCTATGCTGCTAAAAAGACAAAAGAAAGGGGGGAGGGAAGGGAAGGGAAGGGAAAGGAAGGGAAGGGAAGGGAAGGGAAGGGAAGGGAAGGGAAGGGAAGGGAAGGGAAGGGAAAGGAAAGGAAAGGAAGGGAAAGGAAGGAAAAGGAAGGGAAAGGAAGGAAAGGGAAGGGAAAGGAGGGAGAAAAAAGAAGGAAGATAAGAAAAAAGAGTACACAGGGAAAACATTTTAATATGTACATGTTGCACCATTATATTTAAAATCAGGAATAACCAAGAGAGACCTTTTTTAGTACTTGGTGCAAAGTAAACACAATAAGAAGACCCTCAGTTGAGTTATGTTTTTGTTACTCAAAGTTAGAGAGAAAATGCCAGAAGGCCTATAGACAAATTTTTGACCATATAATAGAGGATATCATGGTGGCTGAGTTGAAGATCATCATGCAATTGAAAAATTCAAGTGCATTCTATTAATCAGATCCACACAATTTGACATTGTAAGCAGATATCAAATACAAGAGCAGCAACACTCTAAGAATCATGGGAAATGCAATAAATGGTATACATGTTGTGAATTTGTAAAAGATTAAAGTTAATCCAAATGGAAAGATTAAGACTGTGAAGACCCACATAAAAGAAGAGACATTGCAATTCGGTGGCTAAGAAGGATGGCTATCTTACAGAGAGCCAATTCTGAGTGTATTCATACAAAGAATGGGAGAACACACATTCACAATTCCTGACAACTGGGCATTAAGGGAACTTTTTTTTCTTTTTTTTTAACTTTTATTTAATGAATATAAATTTCCAAAGTACAGCTTATGGATTACAATGGCTTCCCCCCCCCAATAACTTCCCTCCCACCCACAACCCTCCCCTTTCGCGCTCCCTGTCCCATTCCATTCACATCAAGATTCATTTTCAATTCTCTTTATATACAGAAGATCAGTTTAGCATATATTAAGTAAAGGTTTCAACAGTTTGCACCCACACAGAAACACAAAAAGAAAAATACCGTTTGAGTACTAGTTATAGCATTAAATCACAATGTACAGCATATTAAGGAAAGAGATCCTACATGAGGAGCAAGTGCACAGTGACTCCTGTTGTTGACTTAACAAATTGACACTCTTGGTTATGGAATCAGTAATCACCCTAGGCTCTTGTCATGAGTTACCAAGGCTATGGAAGCCTTTTGAGTTCACCAACTCTGATCATACTTAGACAAGGTCGTAGTCAAAGTGGAAGTTCTCTCCTCCCTTCAGAGAAAGGTACCTCCTTCTCTGATGACATGTTCTTTCCACTGGGATCTCACTCGCAGAGATCTTTCATTTAGGTCAATTTTTTTTTTTGCCAGAGTGTCTTGGCTTTCCATGCCTGAAATACTCTCATGGGCTTTTCAGCCGGATCTGCATGCCTTAATGGCTGATTCTGAGGCCAGAGTGCTGTTTAGGACATCCACCATTCTATAAGTCTGCTGTGTATCTCACTTCCCATGTTGGATCGTTCTCTCCCTTTTTTATTCTATCGGTTAGTATTTTCAGACACCTGTCTTGTTTATATGATCCCTTTGGTTCTTAGTCCTATCATTATGATCAACTGTGAACAGAAATTGATCACTGGGACTAGTGAGATGGCATTAGCACATGCCACCTTGATGGGATTGAATTGGAATCCTCTGGTATGTTTCTAACTCTACCATTTGGGGCAAGTCAGCTTGAGCATGTCCCAAAATGTACATCTCTTCCCTCTCTTATTCCCACTCTTATATTTAACAGTGATCACTTTTCAGTTAAGTTTCAACACTTAAGAATAACTTAGCTAGTCCAAGTGAAAAATTCATGAATGTTGTCAACCAAGTGATTGCAAGAAGGAAAGATCTGGGGAGTGAGTGGCAAAGAAAAAAGGTCCATGGTAAGATAGACCTCATTTTGGATCTGTGGTAAAGAGGCATGGGGTTAATGGGGTGAGAGGCGGCATGAGGAAGCTCACCAAAGTGATTCCTGGTCTTACACAGCTGGAAAGGTGAACATCATACCCCAGCCACAGGCCTACCCTTGCTACATCTCCAATCAGGTAAGGAGAGTCTATTGCCAGTTGGGGAGGCTCCCACCCATCCACTGCCCACACCCTTTCCTCTGTATCCCAAAGACATGGGTTCCCCCTCCACCCACCTGCCATGTGACTTTGGGCAACAACACTTTTTTTACCCAAGACTTGATTTCCTCTGTTGCAAAAGACAAGGTCAACTGGCTGGTTTTGAAAGTCTTCAGAGATCTGAAGTCATGGGCTCCTGTATTTATTCCTAAACATGTATATACATCCTTGTCCTGGCCAACCCAACACATGACTGTAGCATGTATTCTCTGACCCTGCAGGAGACACCCCCAGAGGGACTGCTCTTCATCCAACCCCCAGAACCTACATTTCTGCCCTGCACTCCTGTGACCACTGGGCCACAACTGGTATTTGCTATTTCTGGACAACCCCAAAGGCCTCTCTTGCCTGGCACGTGAGTAGAATGCCAGGGATGAGCTGGTTATGTCTTGTGCTATCATTAGCCCAACCTTGTGCTTGATGCCATGAGTTAGGAAGAATTAGTTGAGAAGGTTCAGAATGAGGAATAAAATGAAGAGTTGTGGGCAATGCAAATGGCAGTATCTTAGACTAATTTGCAAGGACAGGGTTTCCCCAGATTTTTTGTTATCTATTTCTGAGACCTCGACCAGAGACTTTGTTCCATCCTCCTTTTCCCTGCCTGTGTTCTGGGAACAAAATTGTATGTGCATAGCATTGAAATGAGGACTAGCAGTAGGTCTGTCACATCATTCACTTTCAGAAAATGGCAGATATTATTCAAAATGAACAAAATGGGCCTGAATGTCCATTATGCAAAGCAGGACCCTGATAGGGAGGGCCATCATGCTCCTTAGGAAATCCCAGGGGCCCATTTTAGCAAAATTCCTATGGATAATCCAAGCTCCTCCTTCAAGTTTCATGGGGATTGGACAACATGGATTAGTGAACCAGTTATTGAATAGTGATGGTAATCACAGCTCTCTAGGAGCTATGCAAATTAAACATGACCAACTGTGTTTTCTCATCATCCTTCATTAAGTCTAGAGGGAGACAAAATGGCTGGGGTTAATGCCTCATGTAGATATGCAAAATAAGTATGTTATGAAAACAAATGAAACAGGGAGAGATTTCCCCAAACTAAGACAATATTGTCCCATGGACCTTTGGATTGCCACATGTAGACAACAAGAAACCCTGCCCTACTTCTGTTTACTTGTGCTCTATCTGTCAAAGGGCTTAATCCACTGGCTTTTCCTTTGCTTTTTTCCAGATGCTCCAATCTGATCCTTCAGCCCTGTGCCACCGTTGACACTCTTCAACTGCAGCCACAGGTCTTGGGGAAGGAAAGGGGTCCATAAATCTGTCAGGGGATGAGTTTAAAGAAACAGAAGAGAAGACATCATCGGGGAAGGCATAGCAGGGGATAACTGGAAGTAATATGGAGCTGAAGGGACATTTGTTCCATTGGGCATAGATGTGACTTTCCAGCACTGTCCTTTCCTTTGCAGGTCCCCAAAGCCTCTGAACAGGCATTGGTTGCTGCCTCTGAGTGGCAGCAAAAACTGGAAGCTGCTAAGGCGCTGCTGGCTCTGAGAAACTCGCGCCCAACATCAACTGACAACTTGCCTTAGGCCCAGCCCTGAGGCCTATCAGGTAGCTAACTTATTGAAAGGTGAACCCAGATGTGGGGAAAACTGGGAAAAGGGCTGCAGGTGGAATGGGGTCACCAACAGTCAGCAGATCCAAACCGGGAATTCAGGATTAATGGCTTGACGTTCTTTGTGGTTGGGTATTGTAGCTCTTCAGTGTGACTCCTCACATGGTACTTGAGGGTTGCCCAGGGAACTTTGAAATTATGAAGCTTTGTGTTCAGTGACAAGGGACCCTTGTCCTCATTTCAAGCAACAAGGAAATCGAGCCTCTAGGTAATAAGAACACACATCATAGCAAGTAGGAGACCCAGTTTCTTGATCTCAGCGTGGGGCTCTCTCCCCAGAACACTGTGGTCTGCTGTGGTCTGAGCAGGATACAGAGAGGTGCAAGGCACTTTGTGCAGAAAGGATCTGGACCTGCCTCTAGGGTCTCTCTGTCCAGTTTCCGTGTGGAGCTTGGCTGTCTTCCCTTATTGTGTTATGTAGCCAAATGATGACCTATAGAAGCTCTGGGAGGAAGAAACATCTGGAGGGTTGAAGGGCAGGGCTGGACACCTTCAGGTGAGCATGGTAGATGGTGTCTTGTGTGGGAGTGAAGCAACAGGTCTAAAGGAACTTCAGGAAAAAAGGGTGCATGGTGCACAGATTATGAATCACAGAGTTGGATGCTTGACAAGCAACTACAGGTGGTCATTTCTGAGATAGGGTGTGCATATTCCAAGAGCCAGGGCTTGACAAAAAGGTGAGTGGTGGCTGTTGTGGATGGATTCAGGCAGGCAAGATTGAGATGGAGAAAACAGAGGAGTTTCAAAGCAGGTGCAGTTGTCACCATGAAAGTTTATGATGGTGCTGGAAATCAGAGAGGAGACCTGGCAGAGGATGTGGCTGTGATCTGACTCTGAATATATCCTTTTTGTCTACAGCTCCTGCTGGAGATAGAACACTCCAGCTATCTGTTCCTTCTCTGTGCCCCAGGCCTGCAACCTCCAACTCAATGTCTTTTGGACATCTGGCCTGCATCTCTCTATGAGTAGGACCCCAGAGGATTAGGCAAGTCTAGAGCACTGCCTACTGGATATCCTGTTTTTAATTGCACAATGGCCAGTGCTACTCATGCTGAACATTAATAGTTAGAACATTCAGATATTTTATAAACTTGCAGATCATTATTAATATGTGGAATATTCTTTGATTGAGGTTGGATACCATTGTACCATCCCTACTGCTATGGATACTTGGATCCTTTGTATATCTTTGATTAAAAACAGAATTATATGCCCTAACCAGATGGATCTGTCATTGGGGTTTGCAATTAGTTAATATGCCAGTTTGTTTATTTTTCTTGAAACTGGAGACATACTCTGTACACTCACATCTGTATTCAAGCGTGTGTAAACATGATGCTGGCTTACTTTGTGTCTAGGTTTGTGTGCATGAACAGGTAATAAACTTATGTTGTAAGGCATGGAGATGTATGGATCTTTGTTAACCACACCAGAACCAAGATGATCTTGACTGTAACACACTTGTTCAACCCACAATTCAAAATATTTATAATATTTCCTAATAAATGGGATATTTTTAGCAAGGCTAGATAAGAAGAGGGTAGAGGAAAAAGATGGGACATTGATTCACTGTATAATCAAGTTCCTTTCCTTCTCTGTCATAGCCTGTTTTCAGTTATTCAGAAGGCTAGGAATGATGATGACCACAGGATCAAGCAGATCACGTTAAAGCAGGCCCTACTGGGTATGGACAACTGGCAGTGCATGCTCTCCCTAAAAAGGCAGTCGCTTCTTGGTTCAAGAAATTTATTGTCATGCAATTATGTGGGCACATTGTTAGTAATGCTGTTTTTTTAAAAGATTTATTTTATTTATTTGAGACAGAGTTACAGAGAGAGGTAGAGACAGAGAGAGAGGTCCTCCATCCACTGGCCCACTCCCCAAATGGCCGCAACGGCTGGAGCTGTGCCGATCGGAAGCCAGGAGCCAGGAGATTCTTCCAGGTCTCCCATGTGGGTACAGGGGCCCACGTACTTGGGCCATCCTCCACTACTCTTCCAGGCCATAGCAGAGAGCTGGATTGGAAGAGGAGCAGCCAGGACCAGAACTGAAGCCCAAATGGGATGCCAGCACTTCAGGCCAAGGCTTTAACCCGCTGCACCACAGCGCCAGCCCCAGTAATGCTGTTTTACAAGACAATCTGGATTCTGGATTTCCACATAAATTTACTCTATTTTTCATTGTTGGTTGAACTGTTTACATTCAGCACTCTTTGTGAGTGAAACCAAACATCAAAGTAAGATATCTCTGGCAAACAGCATGCCAATTCACTTTGGGTCTAAAGTGAATTGCATGGTTAGGGAAGCTGGGACCAGTAAAGATCAGAAAAATCAAAGAGGGGTAATGAGTCCCACCAGCTCCTACTTTGAAGCACTCATGCAGTATGAGGAAGGGTTGCTGTTTTTTGTGTAGTTGTACTCCCTCTATGCTAAGCACATAGATGGAACCTCTCCTAGTAAAGTGTCATTCTTACCATCTTATCTATGGGGAAGCACACTCAAGGAATGAGAAACACTTTTACCCATGGTTTCAGGAGAATTTATGGTTAAGGATCAGGAAAAACTCCATTTTCTTTGCTAGCAACTAAACAGCTAGTAATTATTTGCATAATAGATCATTGAACAAAGCTTCAAAAATCACGACAGCAGACAGAAGTCAGCAGATTTTTGTGGCGGTATGTAGGTCCTTCATTTCCACTTCATTGTATCTATCTGTAGTAATCAACCAGATATTCCAGGCTAGTCCTTGCTTCTTAGTCTTTAGCAGGAGTTATAAACATGCAAAGCACCAGAAATACCCACCAGACAGCCAGAAAGTCAACTGGACATGTCTGGATAGATGTTTATCCCCACACTGTAACCCTCGTTCTTCCTTCTTTCTCTTTTTATCCAAGATGATGGTAGTGCTGACATTCAATGTCACTTTGTACTTACTTTTCTGAGATATTGAGCCATCAGAGTTCTCAAACTTCTCTCTGATAGCAGAGAAGTCGACATTGACAGAGCCCACTGCCTGTGGGTGCTTCACCAGGCAGTTTGAGTCCCAGAGCCTGTGGTATGTTGGGAAGCCAGGGGCACCTGATGGGTGCCCAGTACCCTGTCAATCCTGCTATCAAGACTCAAAGTCAGTGGGGACCATGGATTTTTCCCTCTGGTAGAATCTGTGGATCACATATGTACACAAAAGCCTCTGGTCGATTGTTGCCTTCTCCCTGTCAGTTGCACCAGAGCTACTGCCACCATTACTGCTGAGAAGATGCCATCTTGTCTCAGCCAGATGCTGTGCACACACAAAAGTGCTTCAGCAGCTGCTGCTTATGCCCAAAATGGCATGACACCTGCCCTCTTTCAGCCGGTTGTTGGGCATTGTTATGAGGGGATGGTGAGAGAAACATGCCCCCCTTTTTTGACTGGCTCCATGGATACCCTCTCCCACTTAAGGCTCCAGGCTGGACTCACGACACACTCTCCCAGTGACTATATCAGCAGTGGCAGGGGTTGCTGCAGTCTAATCTCACCTCAGTCTCTGAGGCTGGTGTTTTCTTGGGCTTTTGGCTGCTGAAGTCATGTGTGATGTCTGTGTATATCTGCACCTTGCACACAGATCCATGATGTTCCCCTTCCTTCCATAGAATTTCCATTGTGGTTTTCTCTCTAACTCTGCCCCTGAGAATGTACTTCCTACAAGTTTTTAAACTACTTATCCCTAGCCTAGCAAAGTACACCATTCCCTATTCTACCATCTTGGAAAATCGAAGGAGACTTCTTTCAAAATAGGTCTCACTAACTGTTCCTGGTTATGTAGAACTACTACTGATGATGTCTGTCCAAGAATAGCCTATAGTGTATGACAATGTATAAATTATTAATACAAATGTAATGATCTGTACAAATATTGAGCAGAAGGAAAGTCAAAGGTATTTAAAAATCTCCAGTGAAGGAAAAAAATACAGGGCAGGTATTCTCACCTATGAAGTTAATATGAATGACAACTTTGCAACTGTAAATTATAAATATACATTAATGGGTGTACAATACATAAGGACATAAACTGTGACATTGATAAGATTTATGCAGATGGAGCTGCTAATTTGTAGACTTTTGCTATGCAAAGAAAATGTTTGTTATTAGTTTCAAAGAGAAGGCCACAAAAAGTGTTATATGCAATGGCTATCTTTGTGCCAGTGGAAATAGCTGCAGATTACACACAAATGAAAGTGATGAAGGAAACAATTCTGATTACTGGAAACACTGGTCATGGAAAGTGCAGGTACAGAGGGATGAACACAAGGTGAGCCATGAAGCAGAGAGAAAACTAGGCCAAACTTGATCTCAAACAATCATCAACCCTGCGATGAGTGCTCCTTCAGCAGATATCTAGAGGTGTGTGTTGGGTGGATCCAAGGGGCTCTATCCAGGGCTTGAGGGTGGGACAAGAGTCCAGAATGACAGCCCAGTTGTACATGGCAGATCTCTAATCAGCATGGGGGAGGGTATGATGACTGGGCCACTAGAGTGCCCTCATCCTGATGCAGCCCTAGGAGATAGATTGGCTCTGTGACACTGCTACCAAACATGATGTACTCAAGCCATCTGGTGAATCTGCAGTTCTTTCTCTGATGGTGCAAGTATTCTGGCCACAGACTAATCAGGACAGATCAGGGAGTAAGTACATAGTTTATGTGGTGCATTGTCCAGCAGGACATGCCCACAGTGAAACCTTACCCTTACACGGCCAATACAGCAAAGGACATGAATCCACTGTCACATTGTAGTTTCCATTGTGCCACTTATGGTGCTCTTTTCCTTTAATCTGCAAAACCAAAGATAGTCTCCAACACTTATGAACCACCATCAGATAAAACCTCTAGACACAGAACTACTGGCCTGCCACCTAAAAGTTGTACCCAACCTTGCCCCTATGAAAGCTCTGTACATCCCCAGGCCCCAGTTTTCCTCCAGTGAATACTAATGGATTCTCTGGATAAGAAGAAGCTGAGTTAAGATGTCTTCTCATGGGGGAGCACCAGATGGAAGTGCTGATCAAAAAGGTAGACAGAGCGAAGTAAGTGCTCAAAACAATGGGGTCTTGTTCCCTGAGATTCTCAGAGGTATCTGGTATCATGCATGGCATCTGGGGATGCTCTGTGAGGGATGAGACTCTGCATGGTCATATTCCAGTCTGACTGGGTGACTTAGATACTTCACTTGCTGGGAAATGATACCAGGGTTAAACACAGATATTGATCCTGGTGGCTAACTCAAATGTGATCCCAAAGAGGCCATATACAAGGTGCTGCACATGTTGCAGGTTCCCCCCACCCCACCAGGTAGCCACACTTATCCTCCAGGCAGCTGCAGGCCCTCACCAATAGGTGTTTTGTGCAGAAGTACCTAAAATAATTGAGTGCTATTGAAACTCTATTCACAGTTTCTTTACGGTCAGTTAACCTGTAAGCAAGGGTTATCCTGTGTTTTCCCACAGAATTGATGGAAATGGGATGTTTGGGCCATCTGCATCTGGGACCACTGCTGGTGCTGGAGAAATGCTCAGTGTGAGTGAATGTGTCAGCAGCAAAACTATCAACAGCAGAACTGTGTCCTGTCCCTGAAATGAAACAGCAAGGTGTGTCAGCCTATGTGTTTAGAGGGCTGCGAAAAGGGACCTAAATAAATGGACTCTTGGGTGCTGATTTCTGAGCAGTGAAGAGGATGGGGCACATATTTCCTGTTGTGTCATAATCCATTTCCACATCTGTTACCTAGTGGAGTAGATTTCCAAATGACTACTTGGAATGTGTTACCTTAGATGCTGCTACACTGTTCTGTAACATCTAATAAACTGTTGAGTTGTGTTTGTAGTGTAGGTTGACGAGAGGAATCAATCCAATGAAATTCAATGGCTGCGCCACAGCACCTGCCCGGCTTCCATAGCCTAGGCAACTCATGACTAGAGCCTAGGGAGATTACTGACGCCATAAACAAGAGTGTCAAATTGTTAAGTCAACAACAGGAGTCACTGTGTACTTACTTATCATGTGGGATCTGTCCTTAGTGTGTTGTCCAATGTGAAGTAATGCTATAACTAGTACTGAAACAGTATTTTACACTTTGTGTTTCTGTGTGGGTGCAAACTGATGAAATCTTTACTTAGTATATACTGAATTGATCTTCTGTACATTAAGATAATTGAAAATGAATCTTGATGTGAATGGAATGGGAGAGGGAGCGGGAGATGGGAGGAGTGTGAGTGGGAGGGAAATTATGGGGGGGGGAGCCATTGCAATCCATTAACTGTACTTTGAAAATTTATATTTACTAAATAAAAAAAATTTTTAAATTAAAAAAAATTCAATGGCTGCCTCTGTACCATTAAGGATAAGGAGATTGGCTGGTATTTGAAAGGCAATGGGGAACTATGTACTTATGCATAATTGGTAAATTCTTGTGTTTTATGGCAACTGGTTGTTGTTTGAAAGATTCCTGGCAAAAAACTTGAAGGGTGGAGGTGGAGATGAAGAGAGGAAGAAGAATTGCTGAGCTCCCTTGTGTGCTAAGTTTAAAATTCTGGTGTTCACCTGGATTGTCCTGATTATCTGAAAAGGTTTAGACAGGAACACCCATGGAAATCCAAGGCAAGATTGTCAGCTTATTCACTGCATACTAACAAAACAACTATAATTTGTCGTGGTACATGAGGGTAGGGGCATGAACAACACACACAATGTCTGTTCCAAGAATGGGGGTGACAATAGACTGGCACACTGGAAAGAGTCTTGAGTGCTAATCAAACAGCATTATCCATATAGTGTCCTGGAGGTGAGGCTGCCTGGGGAAAAAAGAGAGATCCTTTGCAGTAAAATGTGTCAGTGCTATGGAAGACATGTGCAAAGGACAGTGAAGCTGCCATGGGCTCAACAAAATGAAAGTATCTGCAAGTGTCCTATGGCAAGACTGTGGTTAAATCTTGACCCACTGGGGCTGGTCTTGTGGTATAGTGAGTTAATTTACTGCCTGCAGTGCTCACATCCCATGTGAGTGCTGGTGTGAGTCCTAGCTCCTCCACTTTCAATACAGCTCCCTGCTAATGCACCTGAGAAAATAACAGAAAATGACCCAAGTCCTTGAGCTCCTGCAACCACGTGGTAGACCCAGATGAAGCTCCTGGTTCCTGATTTTGACCTGCTCAGCTCTGGCCATTGTGGCCATTTCAGAGTTAAACAACAGATAGAAGATTTCTCTCGATCTCCATCTCTTTGTGTATTACTCTACTTTTCAAGTAAATAAAATAAATATTCTAAAGAAATCTTGTATTTTCTCTTTTGGATCTGGGATGGGAGGGGACAATGCAGTGAATTGGGAAGTGGTGGGAAGGAAGAGCCATAGCCATATTTTCAAGCTATAGGTCTAAGGACAGAAAGTTCATTGCCTGAAAAAGGTGAAAAGAGCCAAGATTTTACCCAGAAGTCCTTTCTACAGGCAGCACAGAAAGGGCTGTGTGTTGGGTTAACCACACCCTCACCCCCTTCGCTTGGGTGCAAACATTCCCCAGCTTCATGAGGTGGTGAGTTGGCTGCATTAGAAGTATGTGTGCGCACCGCGCTGATCCGATGGCAGGAGCCAGGTACTTATCCTCACCCTGACTGTTGATGAGCAACTTAATATGTTATCCCTCTTAGTATTTTTTGTTTGTTTGTTCTACTTAATACTTTTTGTGGAATACTGTAATCAATACACAATTATTCTTAAGTGATGAAACTTAACTGAAAAGTGATCGCTGTTAAATATAAGAGTGGGTCACCAAAGGAGGTACCTTTCTCTGAAGGGAGGAGAGAACTTCCACTTTGACCATGGCCTTGTCTGAATATGATCAGAGTCAGTGAACTCAGGGGGCTTCCATAGCCTTGGCAGCTCATGACAAGAGCCTAGGGTGATTACTGATGCCATAAACAAGAGTGTCAATTTGTTAAGGCAACAACAGGAGTCACTGTGCACTTACTCCTCATGTAGGATCTCTGTCCTTAGTGTGCTGTACATTGAGATTTAATGCTATAACTAGTACTCAACCAGTATTTTTCACTTTATGTTTCTGTGTGGGAGCAAACTGTTGAAATCTTTACTTAATGTATGCTAAACTGATCTTCTGTATATAAAGAGAATCGAAAATGAATCTTGATGTGAATGGAAGGGGAGAGGGAGTGGATAAGGGGAGGGTTGCGGGTTGGAGGGACGTTATGGGGGGGAAGCCATTGTAATCCATAAGTCGAACTTTGGAAATTTATATTCATTAAATAAAAGTTTTAAAAAAATAAATAAATATAAGAGTGGGAATAAGAGAGGGAAGAGATGTGCAATTCGGGACATGCTCAAGCTGACTTACCTCAAACGGTAGAGTTAGAAACATACCAGGGGATTCCAACTCAATCCCATCAAAGTGGCATGTACCAATGCCATCTCACTAGTCCCAGTGATCAATTTCTGTTCACAATTGATCATAATGATAGGACTAAGAACCAAAGGGATCATATAAAGAAGACTAGTGTCTGCAAATACTAGCTGATAGAATAAAAAAGGGAGAGAATGATCCAACATGGGAAGTGAGATACACAGCAGACCCATAGAATGGCAGATGTCCTAAACAGCACTCTGGCTTCAGAATCAGCCATTAAGGCATGCAGATCCGGCTGAAAAGCCCATGAGAGTATTTCAGGCATGGAAAGCCAAGAAACTCTGGGGAAAAAAAAACCTAAATGAAAGATTTCCGCGAGTGAGATCCCAGTGGAAAGAACGGGTCATCAAAGAAGGAGGTACCTTTCTCTGAAGGGAGGAGAGAACTTCCACTTTGACCATGGCCTTGTCTAAATATGATCAGAGTCAGTGAACTCAGGGGGCTTCCATAGCCTTGGCAGCTCATGACAAGAGCCTAGGGTGATTACTGATGCCATAAACAAGAGTGTCAATTTGTTAAGTCAACAACAGGAGTCACTGTGCACTTACTCCTCATGTAGGATCTCTGTCCTTAGTGTGCTGTACATTGAGATTTAATGCTATAACTAGCACTCAAACAGTATTTTTCACTTTATGTTTCTGTGTGGGAGCAAACTGTTGAAATCTTTACTTAATGTATGCTAAACTGATCTTCTGTATATAAAGAGAGTCGAAAATGAATCTTGATGTGAATGGAAGGGGAGAGGGAGTGGGAAAGGGGAGGGTTGAGGGCGGGAGGGAAGTTATTGGGGGGGGGGAAGCCATTGTAATCCATAAGCTGTACTTTGGAAATTTATATTCATTAAATAAAAGTTAAAAAAAATAAAAAATAAATAAATAAAAAAAGAAGTATGTGTGCAACTAGGGATGCAGCAACTAGAGGGCACTATCAGTCCCTCCTAACACTGGAGGACGCCAGGCCTTTTTGCAAGCTGCAAGTGCTTCTGTGAAGGAAGCCCACTGGCACATAGGATGTCCAGATTGGGCTGGTCTTGCCAAATTCTCAGAAACTTGCCTAATAAGGAAATGGTAAGAGCCCATTGTCGTTTTCTGAGCACCAATCATGCAATTAGCTCTTTCATTCACATCTGCTTTCTCAACTTGTCTTAATGACACTAATAGCCACTGTACATATTCTCAATGAAAAATATTATGACATGTAGTTCAAATGCAGCCCTCCCTTGACCACCCCACTGCCTAACAACCCATGAGCCAGGGGGTAAGCACAATCACCAGTTTGTTGTGTTTTCTTTGTCAAGTTGTTTGTACACATACATTTGTAACTACCAAAACATGTGTCAGTGTCAGATTTGAGAGAATTTCATAGCATATATATATACTATTTAGATTCATGGTAAAATGGCCTCTACACTCAGTGCCTTTGAAGGTTACTAGGGACAACGAGAAAAGATACACTGAAAATAGTTGTAAAGTTCTTTTATTTAAACAAAATGTGGGTGGTTTCTGAATCTCAGTGACAAAAGCAGCAACTATGGTGGTGGTATTGTGGTGCAGCTGATTACACTGCCAATTGCAAAAGTGGCATCCCATTCCTACTACTCTACTTCCCATCAGACTTCCTGCTAATGTGTCTGGGAAGCAGCAGATGATGACTGAAGCATTTGAGTTCCTGCAACCCATGTGGGAGACCCAGATGGAGTTACTGGCTCCTGGCTTGGGCCAGCACAATCCCAGCTATTGTGGCCATTTGGAGAGGGAACAATGGATGGAAGATTCTCTCTCTCTCTCTCTCTCTCTCTCTCTCTCTCTCCTGACTTTCAAATAAGTAAGTAAATAAATATTTTTAAAAGGGGTAAGTATTTACTGCAAAAAAACAAAAACCAAGGCTTTTTACATCCACAATGGGGACCTTTCTGCACACATCATGGGGCAATTTGACATTTGTGATTCAAATATGCCTGTGATAACTGTGACATTGCAGTGTTGAGGTGTTGCAAGGCAAAATAATCAGCCACTTGCTGCTTGC